GAAGCCAGAACAGGTGGGAGCTATTCTAGCACACGCTTTGTAGCACATACCGCACGTGGGTTCACAGCAGCACACACAGAAGACCCACATCGATAGATGGTACCTGGAGCCTGCTGCTCGCACTGGGTGCGGTGTGACGCCAGAACAGGTGGGGACTCTCTCTCACACTTCACCACGTGTATGAAGATTTGTTTTGAGACGTCTCAAAACAAATGTCATACAGAACAGGTGGGAGCTCTCTCTCTCTCTCTCTCTCTCTCTCTCTCTCTCTCTCTCTCTCTCTCTCTCTCTCTCTCTCTCTCTCTCTCTCTCTCTCTCTCTCTCGAACGGTCCTTGGTATTAATGTCAGCAAGGTACACACACGGTCTCTCTCTCTCTCTCTCTCTCACTTCACCGCGCACTTCCTCACACTCTTGTTACTCGAATGGTCTTTTCACTCTGTATCACACACTCTAGTACCCTCGCTCGCACCCTGCTGAATGGCATGGAGGCCAGGGTGTGGAGAGGTGCTAGGGGCCGGGTAGATGTAGAGAGGTGAATTTGCATGTCCAATCTTCTGCTCTCCGTTGACCGTCCTGCTTGTACCAATCACCGCATTAATACAAAGGACCGTTGGGGTGTGGAACCTTTGAAGGCGCATGCAGAGTTGCTTGGTGCCACCAGTCTCACACGTCGCCTTCCCTTCCCTCCTTCTGAAACCACCAGGTGCTGGTGACGGATACTGAGGCGTCTCAAAGGTGCACTGCACTCACTGGTTGAGACGTACTGCAGGGAGGCGGGCGTGAGGAACCTTTTGGAGGCGCCTCACCACTCTCCCTTCCCTCCTTGTAATGAACTCCCTTTCCTCGTGAAGCCACCAGGTGCTGGTCACGGATACTGCACTGCACTCACTGATTGAGGGTACTTTTGAGAATTCTTAAACGTACTGCAGGGAGGCGGGCGTGAGGAACCTTTGGAGGCGCCTCACCACTCTCCTCTCCCTCCTTCGACCGCCCTCTTTCCTCGTGAAACCACCAGGTGCTGGTCACGGATGCTGCACTCACTTGGTGATTTCACCTAAAATTCTCAATAGTGATTTCACGATCACCACTCTCCCCTCCCTCCTTCGACCGCCCTCTTTCCTCGTGAAACCTCCCCTCCAGGTGCTGGTCACGGATACTGCGCTGCACTCACTGATTGAGACGTATTGCAGGGAGGCGGGTGTCAGGAACCTGCAGAAGCACATTGAGAGGATCTACCGCAAGGTAAGGAATTTGCTGGGAGGGGCTTGGGGAGGTGTGCAGGGGTGTTGGGAGTGGTGCTGGGGTGCTTGATCGGGTGTACTAAGGAACCTGCAGCTGCACATTGAGAGGATCTACCGCCAGGTAGAGAGCTTGCTGGGAAGGGTGCAGGGAGGGGTGCAGGGAGGGGTGCTGAGGGGGGTGCTGAAGGTTGTGCTTCGGAGGTGACTTTTGAGTCGACTCTAAAGTCACCTTGTGCAGGGGGGGGTGCTGAGGGGGGTGCTGAGGGGGGTGCTTCGGAGTTCATTGCATTCGCTTATCGAGACGTCCTGCAGAGAGGTCGGGGAGAGGAACCTGCAGAAGCACATCGAGAGGATTTCCCGCAAGGTGTGAGCTTGCTGGGAGGGGTTTTGGGAGGAGTGCATTGGTGTTGGGAGTGGTGCTGGGGTGCTTGGTGGGGTGCACTCAGGAACCTGCAGAAGCACATTGAGAGGATCTACCTCCAGGTAGAGAGCCTGCTGGGAAGGGTGCAGGGAGGTGTGCAGGGAGGGGTGCTGAAGGTTGTGCTTGGTGGGGTGTACTGAGGAACCTGCAGAAACACATCGAGAGGATCTACCGCCAGGTGAGGAATTTCTATTGCTGGGAAGGGTGCAGGGAGGTGTGCAGGGATGAGTTTGTGGTTGTTGAAATCAAGGGCGGAGAGAGGGACGAGGGAGGAGTGGGAGGTACGGGAGGGTATGAGTTGCATGTTGGAGTGACTTTTGAGAATTCTCAAAAGTCACTCCAACGGAGTGGGAGGTACGGGAGGGTATGAGTTGCATGTTGACGGTCACGCACACTCCCTGTCTTCCCCCATCTCCGTGGTTTGCAGGTGGCATTGAAGATAGTGCGTAGGGAGGGGGAGAGGGAGGAGCGAAAGAAGGTAGCTGCGGCAGCAGCAGCAGGACTAGTGGAGGATGGGGAAGAGGAAAAGGATTCTCTTTCCAGCAGTGCTAGTGGCAGCAGGAGCAGCAGTGATTTCAGCAGCAGTATTTCCAGCACTAGTGATTCTAGCAGCAGCAGCAGCAGCAGCAGGAAGGACAGTATGGAGATAGCGGAGAAGATTATGGAGGGTACAGAGGGCGCTCTGGACCTTGTCACTCGGCTGTCGGAGGATGGGGGGGAGAGGCTGGAGGAGAGGAGGGACGAAGGGGAACGGAGGGGTGAGGGAGAGAGGCGGGGAGAGGAGAAGAAAAGGCCTGGGGCCATTGATGGGGGCGGGGAGGAGGGTAAGGAGGGCAAGGAGAGGGAGAATGAGGCTGGGAAGGAGGCTGCAAGTGTGGCTAAGGAGGGTGGGAAGGAGGAGAGGGAGAGGATAGTGGTGGACGAGGGTACGTTGGTGGAGTATGTGGGGCAGCCGGTGTTTCAGAGCGAGCGTATGTATGATGAGACGCCCGTGGGTGTGGTCATGGGGCTGGCGTGGACTGCCATGGGGGGTTCCACGCTCTACGTTGAAGCCACAGTGATTGAGCAGGTGAGCATGTCACTGCTGTGCGTGCATTTATCGAGACCTATTCCATTCAGAGCGAGCGCATGTATGATGAGACGCCCGTGGGTGTGGTCATGGGGCTGGCGTGGACTGCCATGGGGGGTCCTCTTTGTTGAAGCCACAGTCATTGAGCAGGTGAGGAGGACTTTTTGTTGAAGCCACAGTCATCATCAACAGGTTGACATGGGTTGAGGTGGGTTGAAAGGGTCGGGGTGGGTTGAGGTGTCCAGACTCATTGCAGCCAGAGTGAGTGCATGTGCAATGAGAGGGCAGTGGGCGTGGTTATGGGGCTGGCTGGCCTGGCCTGGAGTGCCGTGGGGGGTTCATTGGAGTGATACATGTGTTTGTGCCACCCGATGCTCTTCTTCCCCCGCCCTACTGCCTCCCCCATTCGCCACCACCCGGTGGCGCGACTGATCTCACCCTCTCTTTCTCCCCACTGCCTTGGTAACCCCACATAGGCCAATTAGGCGATGTGATGAGGGTTGACTTTTGAGTCGACTCAAAAGTCAACTCCCCACTGCCTTGGTAACCCCACATAGGCCAATTAGGCGATGTGATGAGGGAAAGCGCCACCATAGCGCGGCACACGGTGGCACGGCAGGTTGTCAACCTCTCTTCCTTCCCTTTCCTTCCCACTGCCTTATTCACCCAACCCCAGGCAGCGGAAAGAGGCAGTCTGGAGCTGACGGGCCAGCTGGGAGACGTGATGAGGGAGAGCGCCACCATAGCCCATACAGTCGCGCGGCAAATCCTCACGCGGGCCGACCCCGGCAGCGAATTCTTCAGAAAGACGCGCATGCACATGCACGTGCCGGCCGGGGCCACTCCCAAGGACGGCCCAAGTGCCGGCTGCACCATGATCACTGCCATGCTGTCTCTGGCACTGGGGAGACACGTGAGAGCGGACCTTGCTATGACGGGAGAGGTTACCTTGACTGGACGGGTGCTGCCGATTGGAGGGGTGAGTTGCCTGCACTCTCATTGACTTGTGTTCGCTCACCTGGCTGCACCATGATCACTGCCATGCTGCCTCTGGCGCTGGGAAGACTCGTGCGGGCAGATCTGGCCATGACTGGCGAAGTGACCTTGACAGGCAGAGTCCTGCCGATTGGAGGGGTGAGTTGCCTTGACTTGCTTTGACTTGCGGTATGTTGTTCTGTGGCTATTGTTATGCTGGTGACTGGGAGGCACATGCACGTGCCAGCTGGGGCCACGCCCAAGGACGGCCCGGGTGCCGGCTGCACCATGATCACTGCCATGCTGTCTCTGGCACTGGGGCGGCATGTGAGAGCGGATTTAGCAATGACTGGCGAAGTGACCTTGACTGGCAAAGTGCTGCCGATTGGAGGGGTGAGTTGCTTGACTTCCTTGACTTGCTTTGACTTGTGTTGACTTGCTGGTTGCATGATGATTACTGCTATGCTGTAACTGGCGCAACCGCAAGGCGTATGAGAAGGAGCGGCCAAAACACATGAGAGCTTTGTTTCCTGTCGCTCACTGCCCACCCTTCCCACAGGTTAAGGAGAAGACCATAGCCGCTCGCCGCAATGGTGTGAAGCTGCTTGTGTTCCCCAAGGCCAACCGCAAGGACTATGAGGAGCTGCCAGAGCATGTGAGGGAGGGGCTGGATGCCTGGTTCGTGGAGCACTACGATGAGATCTTTGAGCTCGCGTTTGGACGACGGGTGGAGGAAATGGGTGCTGCAGAGGTGGTGGCTGATGCCGTGGCTGTTGAACCGCAGAGGGAGAAGGCTGGTGCTATCATTGCATCTTGAGCACACCACAGTATGTGGTGGATGAGAGACATGGGTGAAGATTGGTGCTGCAGAGGTGGTGGCTCATGGAGCCGCAGAGGGTGAAGGCCAGTGCTGCCATTGCATTTTGATATGCATGAAACATACAATTGGTACAGGGGTGTACGGTAACAGCAACACAACAATGGTGTTGTGACTTACTTGTGGTAGAAAACGTTATGTAGTCAACCATTTGTCAAACATGGGCTTGGTAGTAACTACTGGTTATTGACCAGAGGAGTAATTAAGGGATCATCATTCAAGCTGCCTGAACGATTGGACTAACCTGGTGTGACACCGCGTCGAAGGAATGGTGCAGCTAACACTGCTATTATGACAATCATGCTTGGGTACAAATGTAGTAAGCCTTTCAATACACCATTATAAACAGCGAATCACAGAAAGGCCTACTGGCATTCATCACAACCACTTTCCACCCAGCTTAAGCTGGTGATCACTACTGACCACCACGGAGGCGAAGCACCAGATGGAGGGTGGACTCCTTCTGGATGTTGTAATCAGCCAAAGTGCGACCATCCTCGAGCTGCTTGCCTGCGAAAATCAGACGCTGCTGGTCAGGGGGGATACCCTCCTTGTCCTGAATCTTAGCCTTGACGTTGTCAATGGTGTCGCTGCTCTCAACCTCGAGCGTGATGGTCTTTCCCGTGAGGGTCTTCACGAAAATCTGCATACCACCACGAAGGCGAAGCACCAGGTGAAGCGTCGACTCCTTCTGGATGTTGTAGTCAGCCAGAGTGCGGCCATCCTCGAGCTGCTTGCCGGCGAAAATCAGGCGCTGCTGGTCAGGGGGAATCCCCTCCTTATCCTGAATCTTCGCCTTCACGTTGTCAATGGTGTCGCTGCTCTCAACCTCCAGAGTGATGGTCTTTCCCGTCAAGGTCTTGACGAAAATCTGCATGCCTCCGCGAAGACGGAGCACCAGATGAAGAGTCGACTCCTTCTGGATATTGTAGTCAGCCAACGTGCGACCGTCCTCGAGCTGCTTGCCGGCGAAAATCAGGCGCTGCTGGTCGGGGGGGATGCCTTCCTTATCCTGGATCTTCGCCTTCACGTTGTCGATGGTGTCGCTGCTCTCAACCTCCAGAGTAATCGTCTTCCCGGTAAGAGTCTTCACGAAGATCTGCATGCCACCGCGGAGGCGAAGCACCAGATGCAGGGTCGACTCCTTCTGAATGTTGTAGTCGGCCAAAGTACGTCCGTCCTCGAGCTGCTTGCCGGCAAAAATCAGGCGCTGCTGGTCGGGGGGGATGCCTTCCTTATCCTGAATCTTCGCCTTAACGTTGTCAATCGTGTCGCTGCTCTCAACCTCCAAGGTGATGGTCTTGCCGGTAAGAGTCTTCACGAAGATTTGCATGCCACCGCGAAGCCGAAGCACCAGATGAAGCGTAGACTCCTTCTGGATATTGTAGTCCGCAAGAGTACGGCCATCCTCCAGTTGCTTGCCAGCGAAAATCAGACGCTGCTGGTCAGGAGGAATCCCCTCCTTGTCCTGGATCTTGGCCTTAACATTGTCGATGGTATCGCTGCTCTCGACCTCAAGGGTAATGGTCTTGCCGGTGAGAGTCTTCACGAAGATTTGCATGGTGGCTGACGGAAACTAGCAAACTACCAAACAAGCAGGCTCTACGGAGGCTAGATCAAGCAGGTAGAAGTTAGGCAAGCAGAAACCTAGCTCAAGAATGAAGAGGAGTAAATGGAGGACGGTTATATACTTCCAACAACACCATATAACATTGTCCCTCGGGAAAGGTGTTGCGCTGTGGCGTGCTCTGCCGAGCCAAACCTCTCATGGATGAAACCCCAAAGAAGAAACGTCTCGAAGAAGGAAGCTGGCTGTGTGGCCAGGCGAAGGTTGCGGAAGCGTGCTCCGCAAGATCTTCGTGTGCTCCGCTCCGCGCCAGGCCCGACAGCATGACGCGGTTTCAAAAGCTCGAGCGGACCAATGAGAGCGAAGGTGGGTGGGTTCAGGGACCACGTGGGCGATTCGGTCTGGAGGAGAGCCGTTTCGCTGACTCAGCGGGGACCACCGAACCGAGTCACTGAACCCAATGAAGCCACCAGGCTTCACGTTTGCTAAAACAAACCTACAACCGTGAGGCGAGTCCGAGACGCGGCAACAATAATACATTCAAACATCATAATGATTGTGCAATATGCACATATATGCCATATATTAGAAGCCTTGCAAATCAGACCATGCTAATATACATGTACAGAAAGATGTCTAATGTGTATATCATGCACAGATGCACATTATTTCACATTAAAGGCCGGTGGTCGCGGTATACTGAAGAGCGGTCAGCACCGGAGGAGCCATCAAAAGCTGCTGCAGAGGCATAGGGCAAGCCCCCTTGCTGAAGCAAGGAATTAATCCCTTGAAGAAACACAGGGGCGCCAGAAGGATCTAGAAATGGCACTAATCCAGTATCATGAAGAATGCCCAGGAGCCCAACAACTGCGCACGTTATCGCGATGTAACACAAGGCTTGCGCACGCGCCTGGAGTAGGAAAGTGGGTGATGGGTATCGTCTACTCCGGGGCGAAAGAGGCTTCGAGCGTTGCTGTGGTTGCGCAGGCACGGTTACCGCTCGCGGTGACGACAATGCTGACCCTGAAGCCCCAGCTTCTACTGACAGAGGAGTCGAGAGTGCTGGCATGGCTGCTAAGGACGATAATCCTGATGATGCTGATGATGATATCAAGGCTGATGGCTCTGTTGCTGCTGCAGGTGTGAGTGGTAGTGGTGGCACTGCTGCCACTTGCTGGTCCCTATCAGCCAAACCCTCTGAACCTGGAGGAGCCACCGCTGGAGCTGCAGCCAGCCCTGGTGCCAGAGCTGTTGCCAAACCTGGACCTACTCCCGGACCTGCTGCCAAACCTGCCGCCGAACTTGCTGCTGCTGTGACAGCACCACCTCCATCGCCCTCCACACCCGATACCTCACAGCACACAGCTAGACTCAAACAGCTTCCTTGCTGATAACCCACGGACTGCTCTTGAGGCAAGGTCTGTTCTTGAGGCACAACCAGCCCACCGCTCTCTTCTTCTGAGCGCAGGAACGGCTGCGCTTGTGAGGCATTGACCGGCAGACCCTGTGTATTCCGCGATCGTTCCTGTCCCCCTGCTTCCTCCTCTGCCTCTGCATCTACCTCTGCCTCTGCCTGTGTAGCCAGTGCCCCTGCCTCTGCCTCTGCCTCTGCCTCTGCCTCTGCCTCTGCCTCTGCCTCTGCCTCTGCCTGGGATTGTTCCTCCTGCTGGTGCAGGGAAAGCGGCTCAACATCCTCCGCCCCCGCAGCTACAGGTCGGCCCAGACCACTCAATCGGCACAAATCCCCCTTGCGGTAGCGATCAGGTGACCTCTCAGGTGAATTCTCAGGGAGCTTCTTTGCCAGAAAAGGGCTGTCAACCAGCGAGGGGCAGAAGCAGCTGAGAATGCTCTCAGAAAGATCGAGATCCTCCAGGTCATCAGAGAGAGAGCCTGAGAGAGAGCTTGAGAGAGAGCTTGAGAGAGACCCTGATCCCACTGAATGGAGCAAGTTGGACGGGTGGTGAATGTCTGGAGAGTGGTTGGAGAGAAACTGGGTCCCAGAAGCAGTCGAAGAGCCACAAAAGCCCAGGATCTTTTCAAGTGACTGGGTCAGGGACCCGTGCGTGTGTAGCAAGCTGCTTCTGCTGCTGCTGGTGTTACTGCTAGCGGTGTTGCTGGCGGTGCTGCTGCTGCTATCCCTGTCTGTGTCCTTGTCCCTGCTGCCACTGCTGCAGCTGGTGCTGCTGGTGCTGCTCCCTCTGTCTCTCCGACTTTCCCTACCCTCCTCGCTTATTGCTGAGTGATATCTCCCGACTAGAGTGATGCGCAGCCCACGGCTCACCTGGGCAAGGGGGCAGACGAAGGGGATGCATGGCATGAGTATGAGTGTGTGAGGGGATGCATGGCACGAGTATGAGTGTGTGAGGGGATGCATGGCACGAGTATGAGTGCGTGAGGGGATGCATGGCACGAGTATGAGTGCGTGAGGGGATGCATGGCACGAGTATGAGTGTGTGAGGGGATGCATGGCACGAGTATGAGTGTGTGAGGGGATGCATGGCACGAGTATGAGTGCGTGAGGGGATGCATGGCACGAGTATGAGTGCGTGAGGGGATGCATGGCACGAGTATGAGTGTGTGAGGGGATGCATGGCACGAGTATGAGTGTGTGAGGGGATGGGTCACATGAGTGCATGCGCCAGCCGCCTGCAAGTGTCTCTCTAAGATCACGGAAAAAAAAAAGACAAAAAAAGGAAAAAAAAAAAAGGAGGATGAGGGCAGTTGGTTGGAAGCAGTCAAGCCATGATGATGCTGCCAACCAACTCGTGGTTGGAGCGAAAGACATGCGACCAAAGACATGCGTGCTGATACAGCAGAGCATACCCAGCAGCACGAGGAGGCGGGAAAGAGCAGGGGCACACCCAGCAGCACGAGGAGGCGGGAAAGAGCAGGGGCACACCCAGCAGCAACAGGCGGCGGGAAAGAGCAGGGGCACACCCAGCAGCAACAGGCACATGACGCTTCAATAAGCAGCAGCCTACCTCAATCGCAGAGACGAAAAGGGAGGAAGCTGGGGGTTGGAAGCAGTCGAGAGCCACGACGATGCGACCAAAGACATGCGTGCCCACGCAGCACAGCACTCCCAGCAGCACGCCCAGGCTGAGACCCAGATAGAGCTTGCCCACCGAGGAGGACGGCTGGAATATGGACTCGTCTGATAAGAACCTGCGGGGACAGAGAGTCAGGGGCAGGGGATGGGCGCATGAGAGAGAATGAGGGGTCTGGGCACAGTAGGGAGGGCCCATGAAGGGCTGAGACCCAGACAGAGCTTGCCCCCACTGAAGAAGCCGGCTGGAATATGGACTCGTCTGAAAACAACCTGGTGCGGGGAGGGGGACAAGGGATGGGGAAATGAGAGCCGGTACGTTAGGGACGGCCGGTGAAGAGCTGAGCTCCAGATAGAGCTTTCCCACTAATTATGACGGTTTGAATAGCAACTTGTCTGTAAATAATCTTGACTCGACTCATGCGCCTTGCTGCTGCTGCTGCTGCTGCTGCTGCTGCTGCTGCTGCTGCTGCTGCTGCTGCTGCCGCCGCCGCCGCCGCCGCCGCCGCCGCCGCCGCCGCCGCTGCTGCTGCTGCTGCTGCTGCTGCTGCTGCTGCTGCTGCTGCTGCTGCCGCTGCTGCTGCTGCCTCCCTCTTCTTTCGTCCATGTCCTGTCTCGTCCTCTCTCCTTCCATCTCCCCAGGTTATTTACAGACAAGTTCACCCTGTGGGGGTCGTACGTAGTGCTCTACAGACAGGGCCCTATAAGCTCTAAAACGCTCACCAGTTCGTGACGGCGGCAGCAGCGAGGTGCATGAAAATGCCCTGGCGCGGGGGAGGCGGGCAGGACACCCTGCAAGCCCAAGAAACCCCTTAACCACCTGGAACCTTATCAAACCGACCTCCAAACTCACCACTTGGTGATGGCTGTAGCAGCGAGGTGCATGAAAATGCCCTGGCGCGGGGGGGGCGGGCAGTGACGCATGGAGCGCGGAGGGGGGAGATGCACCCTGTGGGGGTGGCGAGGGTCGTACAGGCATTTGTGCAGCGATGCCACCTGGAGGAATGGAGGTAGGGGAGGGAAGAAGCGCAAGAGGGGGGTGGAGGGTAAGGGGAAGAAGCAGGTGCGCCCTGTGGGGGTGACGCGGGTCGTACAGGCCCTTGTGCAGTGAGGCCACCTGGAGGGGGAAGGAAGGACGACGGGGGGTGGGCTAGGGGGGTTGGGGAAGAGGGGGGGGGGGGGGGGGGGGGGTGGGTGGGGGGGAAAGTGGGGTCGTGAGGGGGAAAAAGGGGAATGGGATTAACAACAGGAAGGAGGTGCACCCTGTGCGGTTGGCGCGGGTCGTACAGGCACTTGTGCAGCGATGCCACTTGGGGGTGGACGGGGGGAAGGGGGAGCATGGGAGAGAGGGCAAGTTGGGGTTAAAGTGGGGGACGAATGGGGAAGAAGACGGGCGATAGCAGCGGCAGGGGGAGTGGCAGCAGCAGGGGGGGCGCACCTTGTACTTGTCTTTGGCCCGCCACGCGGCATTGAAGTCCGGGCGGCACTGGGAGGACGGCAGCGACAGGGACAGCGGGTCGGGGAGAGCCGTTGTGGTTCGGATCGTTGTAAAGCTCCCTTGCTGATCCCCTTCCTCCCATTCCTCCCCTTGCTCCTCTTGACCGCTTTGACTTCGTTGACTGCGTTGACTCGCTTGACCGTGTTGACCGCGTTGACTTTTCTGGCGCCTGTGCTGACGCAGCGAGCGCCACGTGTTGGACGGCGAGTGGAAGGAGACGTTGAGGTCGAGCTGGATGAGAGCCGCCCAGTAGTAGGTGAAGTGGCAGCGCGTGGCGGAGGGGGAGAGCGGCAGCGCGGAGAGCAGCGGTTGCGGGAGGAGCGCGAGGAGCGACGCGGAGAGGGACGCGAGGGCGGAGGGGGGGTTGGCGGGAGGGGAGGCGGAGGCGGAGGGGGAAGGGGAGGCGGGGTGGGAAGCGGAGGCGGAGGCTGAGGGGCAGGAAAAAGGGGAGGCGGCGTGACAGGCGGGTGGGGAGGAGTGGGCGGACGAGTCGTGGTTGGGGGAGGAGGAAGGAGGAGGGGAAGGCGTGGCGTAAGGGGAGGAGGAGGCGAACGGACGAGAGGCGGGGTGTGGTGAGGCTTGCGATGGGGCTTGCAACGTGTGTGGCGAAGATGGTAACCAGGTTGGCAACGATGACGAGGAGGAGGTGTCGTTGACAGTGCACAGCTTGACGGATCGCAGATCCACCCCTGGCGAAATCAGGACATTGTGAAAATCGGGTAGTCGCAAGATTAGGAAATGGCGAAAGCGGGAAAATGCCTAGAGGTCATGGGGGAGGGATAAGGGGGATGTGGAGCGGGGAGAAGGGGGGGAATGGAAACAAATGAATGACATTTGGGTTCGAGCAATAATGATCACTATTCTCACCTGCGGAAACGACGCGGCACGTGCCCTTGGACATGGCGGCCGGATCAGGCGGCATCTGCAGCCAAAGCGCGCCGATTCCGACCGACAGAAATAGGAGATTCACGAGCAGCAGGAGCGACACGGCGCACGTTAGCCACCAGCGAATGTACTTAAAACGCGTACGCTGCCCGCGCAGGCACGCGGTGATTATGCGGACGACGGGGACGCCTATACAGAGGCCAGCGACGGGGACCGACGTGGCGACGGCGATGACGATGACTTCTGCGAACTCGACGAGCGACGACGCTGCGAAGGCTGCGATGTCGGTGAGCGACATGGACGACGCCATCGCACGAAGGTCGCACGGACTGAAGACGGTGTGAGATATGAATCGAAGAAGAGTAATACCCCACGGCTCGGCGATATAGTACCTACGCTACAGGTTTTATTTCCAATGCTGAAAGAAAAAAGTGGAAAAAAAATCACGAAGGCTTGGATGGGAATAGACAGAGGACCTCGTGTTTCAGTCGGAGTCGAACGGGTGTAACACCAGCAGGAACCTTCGACCCAGTCCCAGTCTACGGTGACCTCGACGATACAGTATTGCATAGAATACTCTAACCGGCATGAGCAGAGGAGCAGAATGGCCAATAAGCGCTGTTAGAGTGGCTTTGGGTTCGATCAGCGAGGAAACGAGCCGGCCGTGTGTGCCATTCGTGTTTTTCTCGTATCAGACGGCAGGTAATCGAGCACTGCAGAGCTACGTAAGGAGGTCCTGGTAGGAATGAATGTGGAATGGCGCTTACATGCTGAAATGACACCCTAGACGCGAGTCACAAATGACACTACAGTATCAAGGTCGCTGGTGGAATGGTGGGTGCGTGGTGTTGGGTAATTCGCCTTCAAGCCTCCGTGACATAGAGACCGTACTGTATCTCACATTATCTTACAACACCATATTCAGCCCTCATCCAAAGAGCCCTTGCAATTACCCTTTTCGCGGCCTGGAGCACTGTCGTTTACTGTGGATCACGGTCTTTGTCTTTCCAGAACCTTCAGAGCTCTGTGCAGTGGATTATCGCGTATTTTAGTGTTACAGAGTGGTACTAATAGTTTCACGACATGACCAGGTGATTCTAACTGCCCAGCATTCCTGCTCACGATTCATTCCAGGGGGCACCTGCTTGCTGTGCAGGCTTGCTGGCTCGCACGACTTCAGGGAAGGAAGTCGTGGAGGGCATACGATGCGACGTCGCACAGCGATGTGAAGTGAGAAGAAAGCGTCGCAACAACCAACCTTGACAAAGTTGTGCTGCGTTGTTATTGGTCGTGCTGTCCTTCGCCAGGCGCATCTTGAGAATATGTCGGTTCCCTCGTTTGTGGGAGCTCGCCCAACATTCCTTTTGAATCAACTCCCCTTCGTTCTAATACCGTGACAGTGAAAGTGGGGCTACATGCCCAATCGATTGGTTCATTGTACGTGTAAAAACGAATACAAATTCGTGACATTCTTACGCAGTGTATATGTTCAATACTCTCTTAGCTTGTAGTAAAACCTCCCAATTGCTACACGATATACAGTGATACAGCTGGTAAAGCGTATACGCTTGTTCGCCAAGTGTCGTCTGCACATACGCGCCACGTCAACTCCCTGCGAGCCGCGCATCCTTTCCACCAAATTCCAAAATGTGCATTTGCAGCCTGCCAGCCTCTACAACCGCACCCACATACCCCACCCCATCACACAATACCGCACCAATCTGCATTTACAGCAAGGGCGTGGTGCAAGTGTTGGTGGCCTCTCGAACCTCACCTAAACGTAGCGATGTAGGAAAGAGCCGTTTTGACTCGCACAGACTCGCATCTCACCGTAATGAAGTGAACTCTTCGAGCACGTCCTCGTCCCTGCCAATTTCATTTCATCCCATCTCATGCCGACATTGTCACACCTAGCACCGACAATATTACAGCCTCCTACCAACGCCTATACCGACCTACAACTAACTTGACTCGAGTTTAAGGCAGCCCCTTGCAGCGCGCCTGGATGACTGAACCACTCAGGTCGGTCGGCAAGGCCTCGACGGCTTCGCCTGTTGCTCCTAACGCAGGCCACACCCTGATGGACACGTCATCTCACTCGATATGGCGCCGGGCAAGAAAGAAAACATCGCGCCAGAAAGCGCCTACTCACCAGTACTATATATAACACCTTCGCGTCACTTTCACAAGTAAATCAGGAGGTCGCCGCGTTGAATTCAGTCTACGCAAATTGGTTTTCTTTTGCAACTCTTGGCGGCCGAGCTTTACCAGCATTCGGCAGGTATACCTTCCATTTTAGCGCATATTTTCACTCACGGTGGCATGGCGATGAAGATGTCTCCCGGCAGGTCTCCGAATACTATCGCTTTCGGATGGGCGCTGCTCGCCGTCTTACTCTCGAGTAAGCTTACACGATGAGCCTTGCCTTCGTTTTGCTGCGAAATGCGAAAAACAACGTGGTGGACGCTGTTTCACAATTTCTAAAACTTATAACATCGTTTGAAACGCCTCCTCCACACTCGCCCGGTCCTAATCATACCTCTTTCCTGCTCTCCCATTGGCCTCTTGACGTTTGCAGGCGCGGCATTGGCTGAGGTACTACACCACGGCCATCCGCATTCCCGCCAACATCATCTGAATTTCGTTCCTGGTCTCCTCAACCATCTTGCTGCAATCGTTTTTTCTGGCAAATTGAATGCTGCATGCGCACCTTTCAGAAAAGAAAATACAAAGTTCTCATACGGTACAATTCCCCAACCCCTTCCCCTCTCGTCGTTACATTCTCTTTTACCAGGCAAAGACCATCATAGTGGGCTACGGTATTTTTACTCCCTGGCGGTATGGAATTTCTGGATGGAAGCCATTTAGGACAGTCCAACCGGGCGACCAGCTTTGTAAGTGACTGGCTTCTGTGTAGGTGTCCTCCATATTCTCCATGCTTAGTTCAGAATGCTGCATGTGTACCTACCATTTCTGTAAATGTGTATAGATTTGTTTTGCTTGTAACTCCTAACACTTGGGTGGTACGGTATTCTCTTGGGATGTTGGCAGTGTTCAAGTGGTTGGGGGAGCACGACGTGTGGCAATTCCCTGCAAAGATTGCGTATGACAATTGCGATTTCACCTTAGCGACTCAGCTATACCCCAAGACTGGCATTTTTGGGGCCCACTATTTCTACCCTGTGAAGAATAGTCAGAAGGGAACCACCCTCTATTTTGGGTGTGCAGTGGGAAATCACTGCGCCCGTAAGATGAAGGCCAAGGTTGTTGTTTCCTGAGTGTGTGCACTGTGCATATGGGCAATGTCTCTCAGTGTATGATGTCCCTATTACCTATACCATCTTGTACGATTCTGTCATGTGCTATTTATTACACTAGACGCGGTCATACCCACAAGTTATCTCAGTGATCACGGATTGCTGCGCTTGTGTTGTAACGACGTCATACACTTCACTGAGGTACGAACTTCCTCCACACCTGGTCCACAATGGACATGGCACATGTACCATATCCGTTGGTGTGTGTGTGATGTTGCCCATCCGCAATCATCTTCTCGCTTAATCCAAGCACCCCTTGGATTTGCTACACTGGTAAATCACGTGCCTACTGTAGCGTGCCTACCAACGGCAAATCTAGTGGCATTTGCATTGCAACATGTACCGTAGTACAAGCGTCTAATGATGCTTCCCGTCTGCACTACCTGACCAAGCCTGCTTTTCCAGCCCCACTTACCGTAATCCAGACATTTGTAAGGCTGTGAATGGCAACACCCTTCTATGATGTCCATACCAAATGTACCACCATCTCTACTCCTCCCCCTCATTTTCAATACGGTATGACAACGGGGCTGCCAACGGCAGCACACAAGGTGTGCAGTCCATTTTCGACACACGTCGTCACTCCAGTGATACCGTAGCAGAGGGCCAGAGAGCCCACACACAGACAAGCAGAACTTGTGTATCACATATATTCACGATACAGCGTACACAGCAAAGAACCAACTCTTCTACTTCCCGGCATTGGCAATGGCCGGGCTGTCAACAGCAACACCCATGGCGTGCAGCCCATTGTCAACATACAGCGTCACGCCAGTGATAGCCGAAGCCAGAGGGGAAGCGAGGAAAGCTGCTGTGGCGCCCACCTCATCAGCGTCAAGCTCCTTGGGGAGAGGGGCGTTGGCGGTGGAGTAGTTGATCATGTTGTCTATGAAGCCTATGGCCTTGGCCGCCCTGCTGCGGAGTGGACCTGCGGGATGGGGAGGAAGGGGGGCAGGGGGCAGGGGGCAGGGTGCAGGGGGCAGGGGAAGGGTGGGATGAGCACAGAAGGCGGTGGTAGCCCCCACCTCATCAGCACCTAGCTCCTTGGTCAGGGGGGTGTTGGCGGTGGAGTAGTTGATCATGTTGTCTATGAAGCCTATGGCCTTGGCCGCCCTGCTGCAGAGAGGGCCTGAGGGACTACCAGGGTGGGGGGAAGAAGGTGGGGTAGAGGGGGATTAAGCCACCCAGGATGGTGTTGACCCGGATGACTTGCGCCCCGACTCCCATGCCAGCACACACGTGTAGCTCTCCAGAGCCCTTTTTGACTTCCCACAAACACCAGGTAAAAGCAGGATTTCGGGTTTAGGGCAAGCAGAGGTCGATTGCCACAGCACTGCCTTCTTTTGAGGCGCCTCAGCAGTGGTCGATTGCCACAGCACTGCTTCTGCCATACTTGCGCGCCGCCTCCCATGCCAGCACCAAGCAGAGCTCTTCTTCTGCCATGCCCCAAAGCAGTACCTGCAGAGATGGTGTTGACGCGGATGCCATACTTGCGCCCCGCCTCCCATGCCAGCACCAAGCAGAGCTCTTCTTCTGCCATGCCCCAAAGCAGTACCTGCAGAGATGGTGTTGACGCGGATGCCATACTTGCGCCCCGCCTCCCACGCCAGCACACGAGTGTCGCTCTCGAGAGCCGCCTTGGCGGAGCTCATGCCGCCGCCGTACCCGGGGATGATCTGCTCCGATGCGATGTAGGTCAGCGAGACGACGGATCCGCCTGGTGGGGGGGAGTGGTGGGGAGAGGGAGTGAAAGGACGGCTCAAAGGAGGGAGTTGGGCTCAGGACGCCTCTCGAGAGCAGCCTTGGCGGAGCTCTTGCCGCCGCCGTACCCCGGGATGATCTGGTCCAATGCGATGTAGGTCAGCGAGACGACGGACCCGCCTGGAAGGCGGGAGGGGGAGGGGTGGGCAGAGATGACGGTTTGAGGGGGAAGGGAGGGATTGAGAGGGAGAAAGAGGAGAGGGAAGTGTCGCTCTCGAGAGCAGTTTTAGCGGAGCTCATGCCTCCGCCGTACCCCGGGGATGATGTGCTCCGATGCAATGTAGGTCAGCGAGACGACGGACCTGCCTGAAAGGGGAAAGCCGGGAGAGGAGAGGGTGCATGATGCACACTCCAGAGGTGCCTCATACCGCCGCCGTACCGAGCCGAGGCGATGTAGGTGAGCGAGATGACAGAGGAAAGGGAGAAACCGAATGGGAGGGGAAATAAATCATACCTGCATTGGTGATGGGGCCGAAGCGCTGTACGAGGGAGATGAAGGAGAAGGACGAGGCGGAGATGGCGACCCCTTGCTGTACCCCTTGCTGTACCCCTTGCTGTACCCCTTGCTGTACCCCTTGCTCCCTGCCCCGTGCTTCCCACCCATCCGCCCCACCCCTTGCTCGACGTGCTACACAACAGCTCAGCAGCCCACTGGCCGGTGGCAGGGAGGGAGGTCTTTTGAGAGTTTTGAGAGGGAGGTCTTTTGAGAGTTTTGAGAGGGAGGTCTTTTGAGAGTTTTGAGAGGGAGGTCTTTTGAGAGTTTTGAGAGGGAGGGAGGTCTCAAAAGTAGCCCACTGGCCGGTGGCAGGGAGGGAGGTGGGGAGCGGACGGACAGTACCTTTGTTGGTGATGGGGCCGAAGCGCTGCACGAGGGAGATGAAGGAGAAGGACGAGGCGGAGATGGCGGCCAGGTACCCCTTGCGGGACGTGTCGAGCAGGTCCTTGGTCACCTCGGGGCCGTTGGCCAGCGAGTGCACGAGAATGTCGATCGACCCGTAATCCTCCTTCACCTTGGCTGCTACTTCCTGGAAAATGTGACGGGGAGAGGATGAGCGTGGAGAGAGAGGAAGAGACGGGAGGGAGTGTGGAAAGAAGAGGGGGGTGGAGGGTAGTAGCATCGCCTGAGTTGACTTTTGAGACGTCTCAAAAGAGGGGGTGGAGGGTAGTAGCATCGCCTGAGTTGGAAGGGTGAGAGCTAATGGACCCGAGGAGAGCGCCACCAGGGTATCCCTTGCGGGAGGTGTGGAACAGGTCCTTAATGACCTCGGGGCCGTTGGCCAGCGAGTGCACGAGAATGTCGATCGACCCGTAGTCATCCTTCACCTTGGCTGCTACTTCCTTCACCTTGGCTGCTACTTCCTGGCAGAAGGGGAGGTGAGGAGGCTATTGAGGGGGGGAGGGAGGGGTAGGTGAGAATCAGATCAGGGGGGGGAAGTTGAGTCGGGTCGCATTAGTTCGTTCACGGATTTTCGTTCATGTTACGCAGTACATACATACAATACCTCCACAGCCCTTCCTCCCTCTCACCTCCACGGTCCACCCAGTCGACCCGGCATAGTGCTTGTTGGTGCGGTGCGGATCTCCTCGGGAACATCATCCAGCGTGTCAATGCTGGTAGGAATTTCCTCAGGCACGCCACACCCATATGCACCCACCCGCATTCACCCGCACCCACCTTGACTGTCCCTCTCACCTCAACGAGGTGACTTTTGAGTCGACTCATAAGTCCACCCGCATTCACCCGCACCCACCTTGACTGTCCCTCTCACCTCAACGGTCCACCCGGTCGACCCGGCGTAGCGCTTGTTGGTGCGAATCTCCTCGGGAACGTCGTCCAGCGTGTCGAAGACGGCGTCCATGGGGTAGACCTTGGCGATGTTGAACAGCGAACCGTCGGAGAGCCTGTGGCAGGGGAGAGGACATAAATGGAGGATGGGGTGGTAGCAGGGTTGAGTCTTGGGAACATCATTCAGCGCGTCAAAGACGGCGTCCACGGTTTAGACCTTAGCGATGTTGAACAGCGAGCCGTCGGACAGCCTGGAGCATGGGGAAACGGAAAGGAGAGCATTGGGGGAGGGAGTGGGAGGAGCGAGTATCGTCCAGCGTGTCGAACACGGCATCAATGAGATACACCTTGGCGATGCTGAACAGCGAGCCGTCTGAAAGCCTGTTAGCGAGTGGGAGGGGAAGCGAGCGAGTGGTATGGATCAACGAGGCGAAAAGGGAGCAAGTGGGCATTTTTTTCCGAAACGTCACCACGCACGACAACGGGTTTAAGGCGGACAAATGGATGGATCAACGCTAACCACGTACGGAAACGCAGAAGACGAGAGAACCCGATATCGAGAGAACCGGGGGAGGGAGGGGGAGTGGGGAAGAGCGGGGAAATGAGAGGATGAGAGGAGGAAGGGGAGAGGAGCTTACTTGCGCGACTCGTCGAACTTGCCCCTCCGTAGGCTGGTCTCGAAGATGGAGAGAGCCTGTTGTGGGCGATGGACAGGGGGAGGGGGAGCAACGGAGCAAGGGAACGAGGGAGAAACGAGCAACAACGGTGAGGGAGAACAACGCACACACAAAGAACGCACGTTGCGAAAGGAGACGACGGTTAGATCACAGAATACGAGATCGCTGACGTGAATGCTACGAGACGGAGGTAGACGGAGGGGGGAGGGAGGCGAGAAGGGAGAAGGGTTTGGGGTAAGAAGGGGGAAAAATGGCGCTGAGGGAAGAGAGCTCGCAACTCTCAACGCGAATGTAGAGCCAAGCAAGTTGTCACAACAGCTATGCGCGTCCAGGACTCACCGGCACCCACGTGCCGACGAGCACCTCCGCGCCCGCCTCCGCGAGGTGCTTCGCGATGGCCCACCCGAAACCCTGATCGTCCGCCACCCCCGCGATGAACGCGCGCTTGCCTGGAGATGGAAGAGGGGAATGGGTTAGAGAAGGGGGGGGGGGGAGGGGGGGGGGGGGAGGGGGAAAAAAGGGAGAGAGCGGGGAAAGAGGGGAGATGGGAGATACGGGGTTGCCTTTTTGAGTCGCTCAACTGAAGAGCCACCCAATCGCCTGGTAGTCCACGAGCGGAGCGACGAAAGCGCCAAGCCTTTTGACAGGGAGGGAAGCTTCTGAATCTGGTCTAAACAGCTCATGATCCGGCATATGTAAGCGAAAATCATTTTGTAAATCTATTGAAACGGCAATAT